AAAAAAAAAAGATATAAATAAAATAACGCCAGCCCTGGTTATTTCTTCATTACCTTTAGCTACCTTAATAACCAAATTTTGACATAGTAGAGAAAAGTACAGTTCCGTTCAATTTTCTTGTGAGAGAGTTTATCTCAACAAGTGAAAGCAATGTTTATATAATAATTACCTTTAAAAATGAAAACAGTATCCTTGCTAGTAACTTCATATGCAGCATCCACTCCTGAAGGAAGAGATGGCCAGAACGAAGAGATCAAATCAAATTCAGGTTCCAGTGTCCTGAAGGATTTGCGCCAAAAATGCCTGAAATACATTTAAAAAGTATAAATTGAAAAAACAGTCTTTCACCTTATAGTGTGTTTTCCTCTCTGTCCTGTTTCCCCCATCTTCTCCCATTCTCTAATCTTCTAGGCTGTATGACAGATAGAAATCACAAATAGCCATTAGGAAAACATCTTTCTTTTTTCTTCACAAGACTAGAGTGGACCTCCTGTCATAGGTTTCCAGAGTAACTTCTTCTATGAAAAGAAAGTTATCCTACCATGCAAATTAAGTAGCCCAGTGTAAGCTTTAATTAACTGCAAATGCATGCAAAACAATGTATATGCTATACCATCATTTACACTTTTCAAAAAGATAGGCAGTCTGTGTGTACGTGCTTGTAAGTGTATTCTTGTATATGTATACAATAGTTCTGAGGGATATGCAAGAGGTCTTGACTGTGGATGAATATAGGGAGAATTGGGGAACCAAAATTTTGTAATTCTCTTCCCATTTGTGCAGTTTGAATGTTTTATCAGGTGCATATTTACCCAGCAGTAAGTACATTAATTGATTAAATGTAATGCTTATCCTGGTGTCATTTTTAAAGGAGGTAAAGGTAAAATTCTGATTCTAAAGATTTAATGGTGCTTTTTGAAAAGTAACCATGACTTAGGGCATTTGGGAACAACAATTAGAGGACAAGAGTAAAATCGTCTTGAGTTTTCACAAACAAACCTGACAAAAAGATGTGGAAATGGCAGCCCCAAATCTGAATGATCTTGAGCTCAGAGGAAACATTTTTGTTTTAAATGTTTAAAAATCTGTACCATGTTTCCATCTGTTTTCCTTTCTAAGCATTGCAGATAAAAAGAATAGATAGGAAAATTAAATCTTCCAGTCTGACCTGTCTTTAAAGAACAGCATTTCTCCCCTCAGCGTGCTGACTGCATCGAAGGACAGAGCAGGATCACACATGGTGGGTGTCTCAGGTCCTGGAGGGACAGATTCCGTGGGCACCACAGGGTCATCAGGGGAGGCAGGGGGAGGTCCTAAAGGGAACAGATTTGGAGATGCAAACATTAGCAGAAATGTGAGGTGGCTGTCAATTTATATGCTTTCCAACATTCCAAGGTGTTTTAAGCTAAATCACAAAAGCTTCATGCAACATTTAATAGCTTTCCTGAAGATCATCATTGCACAGCTGCCATGCCTAACATTTCATGAGTCACTCACCATAGAGGGACTGGATGCCGTTCACATCATCTTGAGAAAGGCGGAACCGGGCCAGGTCTGTGAGTGGGTTGTAGAGTGGGTACATCAAAGCGTCAGTGTTGGCTGAGTGGTATAGACCCAGGGAGTGGCCAAGTTCATGAGCAGCAATGAGGAATAAATTGGCTCCTATTTAAGAAATCATAAATAATAGGTATTACTTCCTTAAATACATGTACATTACACAGGTCAGCTGTGCATTGTATTCCTTTACTCCCTG